GGCAAGTCACTCACTGATTGTAATGGCACTAGAAGCACGAATCACAACGGATTTCAGCTCCTTCCACGTCCCCTGTACTGGTCCTCAAAGAGGATCAAAAAGTAAAGCATAGTGTGCAATAAGGGCCTGGGAAGGGGGGGACAAACTCAACTTAGTAAGCATACTCAACCCTTCCTGGATATATTGACGGGCTGCGCCCGAGGACCCCCAACGTCCACGCAAAAGGCTGCGTTCCATAAGGCCGTGTTGGCGGAAATCTTCTGTGGCACCGCCTCTGCGTAAAGAGTAGGGCCTAAACGACATGGGCAGGTGAAAGAATTTCAACAGCTGTTTGAATTGGGTTCTGAAGTCACTCGTGGAGCGATTCCAAAGTTTATTCTGCGTTCGCCCGAAAAGTTCCAAGACAGTACGACACATGGCCACTATACCTGGATGTTGAACGATCACATTCTCGTCAACCTGTCGGCGGACCCCAGTCTTAGTGTCCCCTAGCCGAACCACCAAGGTCTTACCTTTCAGGAGCAAATGCCGCAAGCGGAGCTCAAAAAGTTCGCCTGTTCTCAACATGCCCCAAAAACCTAGGCGCAAGCACAAGGAAAATCTGAGGTCCTCAAGTTCCAGAGTCCGTCCCACTAGGGCCACTATGACTTCCAGCGGGAAAGGCGGAGCTTGTCGAGGTTTTTCTATTCTTCTCCAGATCCCATATAGTTTCCAGGCTGCCCGTATTTTCCCTTTGCACCAAGGGAGAAAGTGATGCAAGCCCGACAGTGTGTCAGCTACAGAAGTAATGCTTGACCCTCGAAGATACTCCTGGTCGATCCACTCAACCAAGCAGTCTTCGATATCCTCTGATGTGCTTTCCAACAAAGGTAATATAGCCGTGACAGCCAGAAAATACCGAAGACGGGTCTTAGTGGTGATGGCTCGATCCCTCAATGAGATCCCTCGCCGTTTGAGGCGTCGGCGGCGGCGCAGGACATCAGGCGCGAGACCCCTCATCGGTTGGGTTATCAGCCGAGTCAATGTGTGCTAAATACAACTGACCATGAGCCGCCAAAAGCACTGCATTAATTTTTCTCACAATGTAAGTGAGCTTGTGGCTCCCTGTCCTTCCTTTTGAAAGGATACCCAAACTGACGTATGAGTCTGTGAGGTGAAAAAGCCTGCGGTTTGTGATGGTCCGATTCAAAGCACGCCACAACAATGTGAGGTAGATTGCACGCAGCTCAAGAGCGTTTATGTGCTCTTCCCGCTCCCATCGAGTTTTAAAGACGTGGCTCCACTCCCACCAAACCGACCAGACGCTTTGACGGGGAAGAGTCTTTGGGTTCAACACCTGTCCTGTCGAAATCCGCACATCGCTACCAGTGTGTCGAGCTCTGGCCGCGAGATGCCGATTCATATCTTCGACGACATGGTGGGCATTGCATGTAGGGAATTCAACTCCTACCTGCAGGGGGCAAAGCAAAGGCAACCGGAGCCCACAGCCTGGGGGCAAACCCATACGACCAAACAGAACCTGCGCATCAAAGAATTGTGTCCAATGATAGACCGCGGCCGCTGCAAACAATGAGAACGACCAAATGGAGAAGGAATCTCCTACCAAGGAACACCGTTCGTCCTCAAAAGCGGTCTTATTGCTCTTAGCCTTTGACGCCGCCATGCAAACTATTGTATGCTGATGACCGTATCCCATCAGTCTTTCACGCTCGCTCGCATTGAGCAGCCTGGCAGACGTCTGGTCGGGATGTGTCAGTAAAAATTGCCCTTTGTACTGGTAAGGAGGGAATCTATACTCATGCGAGCACCATCGACTGCGAGTCAAGTCATCTGTTCGTGCTAAGCCTGCTGGACGGGGAGGTGGTCTCTCTCGTCGAATCGCCTTCATGAATGTCGGGTAAACTGTCATAGGGTCATTCTGCACCCATCCAGGCTCTATCCACTGACTAGGAAGGGGCCACTCACCTTCCACCAGGACCTCGACAAATCCGTCCTTGGGAACGAGAGTCAGTCCTGGGAAACCGGTGAGATCCAGCGAAGTCCAACAAAAACGTGGCCTGGAGTTTGGGACCTGTTTCCGAGGATCCAACCTGTAAGGTTGCACTTCAAGCAAGCCACTGATCTGATCCCTCACCTCGTTATCCATGCTAGCGACATTTTCCACGAAAAATTGGAAATTCTTCTCAGGGAAGAGCTCTGCGCAGTCTCCAAAAACTCGGATGGCCTCATGAATAAGGCTGCTGGATGGACCACTCCGGTTTTGCCGGTTGGCCCGCACTGAACTTACATCAACACACGGAAAACCTGCCCAGAGATGAACAGCTTCAAAGTCCCCAACATCTTTGAGAAGCTCCAACAGAACATCCTTGGTCAGCGTCCGCGCGTCTTCATGAAACACGGTCTCAGGCCACCTCCGGGCAACCACTCGATTCGCAGGAGCATGTACGTCACACGCTACCATGGCTTTCACTTTGACCCCCGCTATGTCATAGCAACGAGCAGCGCCTCCAATTCCGTTGAACAAAGAGATTACCACAACAGGGACACCCTCAGGAAGGTTTCCACGTTCTTGGGAGCAGAGGAAACTTGCACCAGCTGTAGTCAATGAGCGCCCAACTGCAACGGCTCCTCCTGTGAGACTAGCATCACTGCAGGTAGTTACCATGTCAACCTTTGCTCCCAGCCACGTATGGTACAACGGCAACCCTAGCAACGCTAGAAAAAGCTCATCTCGAGTAAATCTCTCTAGCCGAGGTTGAGGGCCTTGGCTTCCTAGCCACTCCCACACATCTGAGAAGTGAGCCATTGCCGGTCTCCGAAATTGCAGGATGAAACACCACCTTCCCATAATTACTTGAACCTTCTTACGGCTTAGTCCCTTTTGCCCCAACAGCCAAATCGTGCTCTTGCAGACCTTCACCAGCCTCTCTGCGCTTGCACCAAGCCATTGACCATTGCCTCCCACGAAGGCGCCCAGTTCCACTCCACTTTCTGCCGCAACCACCTTGCCAGGTGACACTACTATACTTGTTTCCTGCCAGATTGCCTCAGCATCCTGTTGCATACGGATCAGCTCTCCAGCCTCATCACTTTTCACCTTAGCTCCAGCCGCAAAGTTGTCTAAATAGACCTGCCACCATGGTTTTCCTTGCAACTGCCCTTCAGCCGCGCTGGCCAGAATCCAAGGGGGTAAAGCCACAACCTTCGTAACCTGACCTGCCGGATCAAACCCCCCCTTCAAGAGAACATCTTCCGCAATGGACTGCATCACACCTACGGCAGACGACCAACCCATAGGGAGAACCCGGCACGCCAAATACCATCGTTCTCTTGGGTCAGAACTCTGAACTAGCGGTAACTCCGCAGCTGTGAACGACAAGTTGAACGCCAAGTACGATGACCAACACTCAGGCATAGCGAACAGGTAGAAGGCACAAGCCATATCACTTTGTGCAATGCGGATGGTCTCACCTTCGTCCACCACCGCATTCAGCCACTGTGTAATACTTGGCAAGGCGGAGACTCTACCCGTGATCACACGTAGAATGGAATTGGAGGGAACCAGGTTCATAATCAACCTCAAGATCGTTTGCCCCTCTGGGAGCAGCTTTGACTTAGGGACCCCAAACATGCCGTTCAGAACTTTTTCACCTCGGTACTTGGCAACTTTGTTCTCAGGGATCCAACGACAAATACCTCGCCTCACAAGTTCCAAGGACAACGCCATCCTGTCTTCAGGCTCAACATGAATCTTACCTTGCAACCTAGGCAGCTCCTGTCCTACGTCAGGGGTGACACAGAGCTCCGGGTGCTCTAACAGCGTTCGCGTCCTACCATCCACCCAGTCTGTGGCCTGAATGGAACCGCCATGACCCTCAGGGGGCAGCCCAGGTATCACTCGCCTCAACGACAGGGGTTCCGCTTTGCACACCTCCTCTCCAGTGTAGCTCACTGAGCGTTTGTCAAAGTCCTCTCTAATAGCAGCATTAGTCCAGTCCACTTGCACATCGTCCTTCAAAAGCCGTTGGGCAGACAGTTCAATAGACAGCAGCAAATCCCTTTGAGCGGCCGTGGGCTTCCCCAGACCGCGCCCTGGTCTACCCAGGGCCATGTTGTTGTTAAATAACAAAATCAGCTCA